ACTTCCTCCTTGTTTATAGTACTAACAAAATGCTGTGTTAGCTGTCCTTCATCTTTGCTGGTTATTTTGGAGGTTGAATGTTGGGAACTTTTCTGCCTGAGCTGTCTTTGAACTCAATCCAGGTTTCAGTCTTGTTGGTAGCTTGAATTATACATGTGAGCCACCAGTACCCAGCTTCCTTCATTTTTTATATCTTACACTATTCATGTGGAACTAATTACTTCCATCTAAAGAATATCTGGTGAGAATGTTTGGAAGTGTTTGTAGAGTTCTCTGAAGTTGTAGCTTGGTATCTTACCACTTCTGGAAGATTCTTAACCTATTAATTTCTCTTCTATCCTGTTGTCTTCCCTTCCTAGAACTTGTATAATGTCTCTGTTGTGTCCTGAAGTGTCTTTATTTCAATATTTTCTCTCTTAAGTCTCTTGCCATTCTTTGAGGGTATTTCTTACAAGCTTCCTTCCAGTTCTGTTATCAGTTCTGTCTCCAGTTCTGTCTTCGACTGTGTCTCATCTACTTTGCCAGTCTAGTTTGATATCAGTTCTTTGTTTCTGTACTGGAGTCAGGATTTGAGTCATACACCCCAGCTTTGATGTAGTTTATTTTTATTTCTATAAGTTTGGTTCTTTTCCAAATGTTGCTATATCATGTTTATTAAATTGGTGTCCCTTTTGCAGATAATGTTCTTTCTGCCTGCTCTTTCTGCTACTCTTCCTTCCGAAGATTTAGGTTAGGAATTTGTGCATGCTAGACAGGCCCTTTACCACTGAGCTACGCCTACAATCCCAGACACTGTATTTTCAGGCTTAGAAAGCCTGATAATTTTTTTTTATCTTTGTCTTTAGTTTGTTCATATTCTTTTTGACAATAAATGAGTCTTTGTAGGACTAATTTCTACTGTATTTGCTTTGCCTTTTGATGCCTTTGACAATTGTTTGGATGAGTTATTTGAGGTTTAGGGTGAAGAAAATGCCTTTCATTTACAGTTAGATGTTCATGTATCTCCAAACATACTAGCAGAGGCACCTGGAGCCATAGCTCTAGGCCAGGGATGGGGCAACACAGATGAGATGAATTTGGAATGGCTGTCCAGAAGAACTGGTTTATTGTTTCTGAGGATATAAAAACAAAAGTTTGTACATATTAATGGAGTATGCTCCTTTGAGTTCAGTCCAATGAGATATTCTCTCCTCCACCTTTTGTAGATGATGAAACAGGGTCAAAGAAGTCTGCCTGGTTTGAAAAGATGTAATAAGCAAGAGATCTAATTTAGCCAGAAGTAGAAGATTGAATGAAGTAGGCATCTTTGTGTTGTTCTGCTTTGTCTTGATTGTTTTGAGGCATGTTTCACAGTGTATCTCTCCTGAATGCTAGTATTACGTATATGTAACACTATGTTGAGCATTGTCTTGGATCTTACAAGGAGAAGACATTTGATTTTAAGTCTGAGGGTTTGAAACAGACGTTGGGGTTAGCATGGTAGGTAGTCCATTTATAAACATGTTAAAATGGCACAAAAGTTTGAATTTGGAAGCTTGGAGATATTTTTCTTTCATATTTTTTACCATTGCTGAATACTAGATAGTTAAGTATTGAATAAACCAGCAAATTGCAAAATGTTACTGAATTAGTATAAGTAAGTTTCTGTGTATTAGAAAGCCATATAATGCAAAGTGAAAAATATGTTCTCATTTCTTCTCAGTGTTATGATTTTAGCTCATCTTTCTAGGACTGCGGTGTCAGTGGTAATGTATGTGCTTAGCATGTACAAGGCCCTGGAAACACCAGCATGAAAAAATGTTTGTATGTATGATTTTAGTTATAAGAAAGTGTGTATGTACACATATTTAAAAGTATATAACATTACATGCCTCACAGTGTTCTTTACCTGTCAGCTCTGAAAGCTACTTTTTTCCCCTTGGTGCTACTGGAATTTGAACTCTACCTTGCACTTGCTAGGTGGGAACTGTACTGCTGAGCCATACCTGCAATCCTTTCTTGCACTGGCTATATTTGAAATAGAATTGCTCCCTTCCCTGGTACGCTGCTGAAGTGAGCCACTGATTTATGCTTACCATAAAGCTAAAATAACATGCATGCCACAGTGCCCAGCTGTTGTTATAAAAGGATCTTGTGAACTTTCTCTTGTCTCATCATACTGACCTTCCCTATTACAGGCATGAACAATTGGTATGGCCTAAGAGCTGCTTTGTTTTTGGCTGCAGAACATTCTGTTGTATGCATATGCCATAATGTGTGGACTACTGTGAAGAATACAGTACAGTCATTGGCAAAAGTAGACGCAGTTCCTGTTATATCATGAATCTTGCAGACTGTTCAGTTGGGATACACTTTAGGTTGCACAAACTGATCATGTAGTGGAGTTACCTTTGATGGAAGGAGAGAACTTCATAGTGTATACAGTTAGATAATTAGCCAGAATGTGCAGAATGCTAAAGAGTAAAACATTGAACTGAGAGCCAAAGAATAAGTAGAGCTTGTTCACCAGAGTATCTTTTAGGTGAACATGGAAAAGCAAATGCTTTAAATACTTTGGGTCTCATTTGTTAAAGTCTAATCAAAGGTTTACTTCTTGATTGTGCAAAAGTCTTAATATGATGTTGGTCCTTTTTTAAAACAATGTTTGTTTAGTGTATATTATATACAAACTGAGTTTCATTATGGCATTTCCATACACATAAAATACACTTTGATCATATTTAGCCCTTCCCCTTTGAAATTTTCATTTTTTTATTGTGAAAATACCATACAGAGGGGTAACAATTACATGGGCAAGGTGATGAGTACATTTCTTATCAAGCATTGTTGCCTCCTCCTTTGTTTCCCTTTACTATCCCTTCCCATCTCTCCTCCTCCCCCTTCCCAAATTTTCATTTTTTTAATGGAATTTTTCTTTTTTCTGTTGGGACAGGATCTTGCTTAGCCCAGGCTGACCTCAAACTGACCATCTTCCCGTCTTAGCCTCTTGGGTACTAAGATAATAAGTATTTACCACCAAACTCAGCAAGAGACAAGTTTTGTTTGTTTTTCTGCGTATAGTGTTGGGGATCCAACCCAAAGGCCTCATATTTGGGCTATATCCCTAAGCTGTGTGGACCCATCTTACAAGTGATTACAAGGACATGCTTAGGCTTGACAGTCTTAGGCCAGGTTACTTTCCAGAAAAGTTGCAGTTAAACAACATTAGCCAGAATTAAGAATGCATATTCAGTTTTTCCTGCATTGGTAGGAAGTCCTTGATGATTTGATATACAAACTTATCCAACTTGGATACATTCCTTTGGAGACTTTTTAAGATAGTTTGGTGAACATTTTGTAAATGCTGTCTAGTTGTCTAGTATTTGTAGAGTAACCAGTATTACTAGAATTATCTGAAGCAAATGGAAAATACTTCAAGAGAAGAATATACATTAGAAGAAATCTGTTGTAGTCTAAAATATTACTAAAATCATCATCTCAATTCTAGGGCTAGCTATCAGCCATTTTTCTATCTGAATATAATACAGTTCATCTTACATTTCTTGTTTTCTCTCTTTTTGGGGCTGTGCTTTGTTTTGTTTAGGTTTTATGAGATGTAGGATTCCTGGGACTTACTATGTAGCCTAGGTTAATCTTAGACGTTTAATGCTTTTGTCTTAGCCTTCTGAGTGCTGGGGTGATAGGTTTATTTAATTTATTTTCTAAGAGCAATATTGTCGTGATTTTTAGTGGGAAGGAACTTAGGACTTGTTCTGATGGATTCTCATAGTAAAATTTAGTTAGACCTGGCAATCAAATATTGACAATGTGTGTGAATTTTTTTTCCCCAGTTCTGGGGCTTAGACTTAGGGCTGAGGCACTGTCCCTGAGTTTCTTTTGCTCAAGGCTAGCACTCTACCACTTGAGCCACAGTGCAACTTCAGCTTATTCTGTTTATGTGTACTGAGGAATTGAACCCAGGGCTTCATGCATGCTAGGCAAGCACTCTACCTCTAAGCCATAGCTCCAGCCATATAGCCAGAGGAAGCTAAGGGCTCAGTGATAGGACATGAGGAAGAAAGGATAGGCTTGAGATATCGTAGGCTTTATTAATTACAAATATTATAAGCCTCTTATTTTTAAAGACTTCTGGGGAAGTGCTGTGTGGCTCAAAGTTGTAGAGTGCTAGCTATGTAGAGTGCTTGCCTACTAGCATGCATGAAGTTCTGGGTTCGATTCCTCGATACCACATAAGCAGAAAAAGCTAGAAGTGGCACTGTGGCATAAGTTGTAGAGTGCTATCCTTGAGCAAAAGAGAAGCTCAGGGACAGTGCCTGGACCCTGAGCTCAAGCCCCAGGACTGGCAAAAAAAAAAGACTTCCATGGCATTTATAGTTAAGTATAACTAGGTGTTTGTTGTTGTTGTTATTGCTGCTGTTCTACAATCTTGGGGCTTGAACTCAAGGCTAGCGCTCTACCACTTGAGTCACACCGCCACTTCCAGCCTTTTCTGAGTATTTATTAGAAATAAGAGTCTCATGAACTTGTCTGCCCAGGCTGTAATTTTGTTTTTTTAATATGAATTTGATAAAAATGCTGTTAAAAGTGATTTTTGTCCTGCATCGCTAATTAGCCAAAGAAGCTAAGCAAAAATTGATCACAGTTGTTATAAGAATTAGAATTTAAAATTTTAAACAGTCTCTCTGTAATTGTACAAAGATTGGATTGTTTACCAACAGTGTCTAAAAGCCTCTCTAATGTCCTGGAAAAATTATTTTGGTAACTGATAGTTTTGTATGTTCCATCATACTATTTTAAAGGAAACATACTGGGAGTGGTGATGCAGCTCAGTGGCAGAGTACTTGCCTAGCATGTATGAAGCTCTGGATTTGAGTCTCGAGGGCCACCAGAAAAAAAGGCAACCCAAAATAAAAGAATATGCATTATACTTATTGGGATAGTGTATGGATTGAAGTTTTGGTTTCAAATTGGTTTTAAGTAAACCATGCACTTGTATTTAACACTGATGTTTTTCTTTATAGATATTTGGAGTTCCTGCAACATGGCAGACGTTGACAAGTAAGTGGATGACAGTTTTTTTTTTTCAGAGATTTGGTTATCACCTTGTATTGTGATGTAATTAATACTATATACTTAGAAAGTTTATGGTATTAACCAGTGCTTGGTTCCTACAATTTTGAGAATATATCTAATATAAAATGTTGTATATATGACTACTATATATATTACAAACTACTTGCCAATATACTTGGGAAAGTGGTGGGTAAGCATAATAATAAATAGAACACATATAACTTCCAGACTTATTTTTATAATACATATATTTCCTCCAAAGATTTCCTACTTACATTATAATGTGTTTTAATTATAAAAGATTTATAAAATGTATATGTAGAGAATAAACATAGTACTTTGCCAAAGGACTTAGATACAAATGAAAAATAGAATCTTATTAACAAAAGTCTGTAATTTTTGTGCCCCTTCTCAATTGAATCCTCTTCCTTTCTAGAGGAGACAGCACTAATGTAACTTTTGTCTAATTCATTTGTTTTTCTTTAGCGTTTTAGTTATCAACAACTTTTTAATCAGTGTTTATTTAATTTGAAGATTTGAGTACCAAACATAAACCCAGCTTTGGAAAGGGGTTTGACTTGGGTCACTATTACTACCACTATTAGTTGAAGGCTCTAATGTAGTACAATAAAAAGCCAGAGACAATCTTGGTGGTCATAGTCTAACTTAAACTATCCCAATAACCTGTTGTAGAAGTTATTGGCAAGGTACAGTGTACCTTGAAACAGGTAAAATATGTGTGCATCCTGGAAAATGTGAATTTAGTCATTCATGTGGTAGGTTTGTTATATGGATGGATGTCTTACAGAATATGATTAGGAAAAATGGGATGAGCTCCATATTACTTTAATTTCACTGTAGCCTAATAACTCATTAAGTAAATGGCAGACAGTTGGTCCTTTTTCAGAGATTGGAAAGGTGGAAACAACACTGGGAACTGAGTGGAGATGATTAGGGTCTCCATTACCTGGTTATAAGCATCAGGGTATGGGATGAGCACACATTTGGGCCAGTGTTCTCTTGTATGGATGCTGTCTTTAGCCTGTGAGTGGCAGCAGACATTTTATATATTATCAAGAAGTGATTTTCTGAGTTACTGCTCATATGGAGTGCTCATTACTGCCCTCGGTCTGTGTCTTTCTAGAAGTTACTTTTGTTTCTACTCTTTCTGGTTTGTTGTCCCTTTTTTTTTGGCTCATGCCTGGCACTACCACTTGCCACACCTCCACTTTTCTTAAAAGAAATGGTTTTGACATGACTGAAAATGACTACTTTTGCTTGATAGTTTCAATGTAGACTTCAAGGTATAGGAATCATTTTTGCTCCATTTTGTAAAGGCAGTGCTCCTTTGTCATCTTGATTCCCATGTTGCTGTTGAGATTCAAAGTGACAATTTTGGTTCATTTGTATGTGATAATGTGTATATATAAAAATCATTTTTTTTCTGGAAGCTGCTCTTTTGTTTTCAGATTTTTTTTTTCCTTTTGGTCTTTTTTATTTTTAAACCTGTGTTAGGCATTGGGTAGTATACCTTTTTCGGGCTGGAAATTCAGGAGCTTCATTTCTAAAAATATCCTTGACTGACTTATTTATTTCTGTTTTTCTCTTTCTGTGGCTTCTGTCAGATGTATGTTAGTCTGTTTCCTAATCATCTCTTGTTTTTTCCTATATTTCTCACTGCTCTTTCTGGGCAGAGCTTTAGAAAACTTACTTTTCCACTCTTGAGTTTGAACACTTCTTGGTTTAGAGTCCCTTTGGTCTTTGTACTTGTTTTTTTTTTTTTACATAGCACCCTATTCTGTTAGACTGTGATAGCTTGTCTTTGGATGTTCTTTTCTTTGTATACTGTTTACTCTTAAAGTTTTCTTTTTATCAATGTTTTATTCTCAGTGGAAGATGCTTTCTTCAAATATGAGGTATTTACTTTTCTCATTAAGGTGGATATGGTTGCACGTGCCTATAATCCCAAAGGACCAGGAGCTCAAGGCCAAGCCTGTGTGTGAGACTAAGAAAACAAAGAGTAAGGGGATTGGTAGAACTGTTTGGGGAGAGGCAGTTGAGAGGCTTTATTTTAAAACTTGAGAGCTTGGTACAGGGAGCTTGTTAATTTGAGATTTTAGTATAATTCATGAGTAGGTATTTTTGGGAATCCCCAATGCCAGAAGAGTAATTTTCTTTTTCTTGGGTTGCTTCCATTCTGTGAATAGGGCTGGGTACAGGTCTGTCTTCAGTGTTGTAGGAGCCAAGTTAGAAGAGAGCAGCTAGGAACTAGATTCAGTATTCAGTTCTGCACATAGCTTATCATGTGTCCTAGGCAATCTAAATTGTGTCTGGTCTCTCAGAGTTCTGAGTTTTACTCCTCACAGAAGAAACTGCCATATTTCTGCTAGGATTGAAGAGAAAATTAAGGATTTAACTATTTGTTTTTACTTTTTACATTAGATGTCTATTCTTAACAGCCCTTGTTCTATAAATGTGCTGAAGTATTAAGGACTAGATGAACCCTCACCCCCACACACACACACACACACACACCCCCCCCCCCCCATTCAGTACTAGGGTTTAAACTTAGGCATTGTTTATGCTTTATCACTGGCTTTTGCAGTTTGTTTGTTGTTCTTGCTGTCATTCCCCCCTAGGCTGGCATTGAACAGAAAGCCTCCAGATCTTAAGTCTCTTGAGTAGCTAATATGTAGTCATTAGCAATTAGTGCCTTGCCCTACTACTAGTTCTTTCAAAGACAAATTGAGCTGTCTGCAATTTTTTTCTATTGCTTCACTAGATTTCAGTTCCCTGGTGAAGTTGATTATCTTTTATCATCTGCTTTCAGATTTTTGCTACTCTTCTGTATTCTTCTGTCTTTATTCATCATGGCTTGTTTTATCACATTCTAGTGGAGATTTTGGAAGGATTAAAATCAGATGAGATGTGCATCCTGCAGTCTTAGTCTGAAAGCACCTATTTAAAACCTTTTACAGAATAAATTGATTATCATAGCTAGATTTTTCCTCCCTACTATTAAATTTTGGCTAAAAGAAAGATTGTTTTTGAAACTGAAAGTCAGAAAACTTTGTGCTAAAAGGGCTTTAGATATGTTGGGCCATGCGGTCTTTTGTAATTACTTAACTACTCATTAAGTATGAAAGTAACCATAAATAGATATACACAAATGAATTAGATACTTGTATACCAGTTAGGATTTTATTTACAAAAATAGCAGTAGGCTGAATTTGGCCAGGTGGCATAGCCACCTATTTTTAAAATTTTAAGATGTTTCAGTAAATGATTATGTTGAAGAAAGGGCTGCTTCATATTATCTTTAGCCATGGCTCTTAACTCTCAATATACATTCACTAAATAGACAGCATTTATTGAATCAAAGATACTCTAGAAATAATCTAAATCATTTCTAAAGGCTGAATTTCTTTTCTGGTTGTTAGAAACCTCAATTTTACTAGCCTAATAATTTCTCTATGCTTGTTCTATACTTGTATTTTTCTGTATGAAAATTAATTTTCAAAAGTCATAAACACAAAAATTAATAAATTTCTAGTCCTAATGTTGAAATATGTGATGAAGCCAAGGTATAGTGCTTCACACCTATAATCTCAGGACTGGGGAGTCCAAGACAGCAGGATTGTGAATTCAAGGCCTGTCCAGGTGGCATAATGTAACAACTGTCAAAGCTTAATTATCCTTATCCTCTATTCTAATGCTAAATATAATCTCATGTTCAAAGACTATTTTTGGTGATTCTTAAGACAACATGAGAATACTACCTTCTTTTTGCTTTCTTTATTAGTGTTACCATCCTCCTGGCTTTGCTCTCAGCAAGAAGCAGGCTTAGAGGTCTTGGTATTTGTTCTCCATTTTCACTGTGAAGTAAAGAGAAAGCAAAGTCCAAAGGTAGTTGAGTGAGTGCAGGCAGGTTTGGTTGCAGACTCATCAGGAATTCAGGATCCTTCTTTCCTAACTTCATCCTTAGTTTGGGTGCTCACGTTAACCCTGGTTTGGTCTAGGGTAGTTTCTGAAGGTATAGCCATCATATCACTGTTCTAGGTAGAAGGGAAGAAGATCATTAAAAAGGCATCTTTTCTACTATTTTACAAAGATCCTTCAGAGTTCTATGCTACTTCTGCTTTTTAAGTCTCATTGCCAAAACACAGCTGCATAGTCAAATCAAGCTGCAAATTTAGGCTAGGCAATGTAGATTTCAACTTTGGTGTTTTGCTTTTCCATATAAAAATGCCATTGCTACGAAGCAAGAATGGAGTCAATGGATATTAGGTGAAAACAGATTTCTTGGTCACATTCCCTCAAAACCTACCAGAGCACATTTTTAAAGCTTGAATAACAAATCTTATATTTGGCTAGATCCATTTAAATCAAGAGTTTAGCACTTTAGCTAGTACTTAACCTACGTTTTGAAATTCCTATCATTGAAAGAGGCATATTGATGTAGAAAATGAATTTGTTTTCTGTAATTTTTTTTTGTAATGGTACATTTGAACCATGGTGTGATACTATGATATTGTAGCAAAGAACAGTCTGAACTTGATCAAGATTTGGATGATGTTGAAGAAGTAGAAGAAGAAGAAACTGGTGAAGAAACAAAAATCAAAGGTATTTGTTTTAAATTACTTTAGGAGCCAGTGGTTGCTGGCATGTCTCCTAGAGGAGGATGAGTACTATTCTCCTTTGTCCACTGGCCCATACCTTGAGTGTGGTAACTATGTTTATAGCAGAGGGAGGAAGGAAGAGGTGGGATGGACTTCATGGCTCATCAGAAGCCACAGTTTTTACACACCGCTGCTGAAGTGACATGGCATAGCTGTGTTTAACAGCTGGTTTTTATCTGACTTTGGAGAAGTTCCAGGGGCTGGGACTATTTTTGGAAGTGCTGCTTAACAATATGATAATTGTGTATATTTATCTGAAAGCATAGTATGTTGTCTTTATCCCAAGCCCCTAAAACTGAATTGTACTTGAAGTTTTCTGATATATGTTGTCTGCTTTCAAATGACTTGTCATAAGCTTAGATAGGCATCTGAATGAAGCTTTGAGCTTCCCTAATGCAAGGTGAGGGAAACACAGTGTAGTAGGAATAGAAAGGATATAGTTCATAGTAGTGTGACAGTGGTCTTTAGAATGCTGTCATTAGGAATCAACTTTCCAGAACATTGGGTTTTCCTAGAGTATATTTTCTTTAGCTTACTTTGTCCATTTCTACTCATGTAGCAGCAGCATTATATGGGCCAGATAGAAAAACTTCATGAATGGATTTCTTATGAAACAACATAGTAAATTTTCATAAATCCTTTTGATGCCCTTTTTTTTTTTAAAGCGCGTCAGCTGACTGTTCAGATGATGCAAAATCCTCAGATTCTTGCAGCCCTTCAAGAAAGACTTGATGGTCTGGTAGACACACCAACAGGATACATTGAAAGGTACAAGTTCTCTTTTCCATCTTCCTGTTTATCTTTCTATAATCAACATTGCAGGTATATTTTTAGAAACCATCTAAAATTATGTATGTAATAGTAGAAACCTAATGTCTGTTAATATCTAGTGTAGGATTATGAGGAGTTTAGAATTTTACTTAGTACTGCTTGTTTTTAGAGTTCATCTTCTAAAGTTTATTTTAGTTCAAATCTACTTAAAATATATTGATCTTAACCATTCCTAAGATTTATTTAGAAGTTTGTTTGAAATGCATAGAGTATGCAGAAATGTAGATTTCTTACTTCATTTGTGACATAAGTCAGTAATAGCCTGAGTATCTCATTCTGCTTTAACTCAGCTTTTTGAATTCAAGCTTCATTCATGTTGACTAGATCTACACATATCTCTACATACTAGATTCTGACTGTTTCCTGGCTCTCTAGGAAACATTGTATGTCCACAGTGTTTTATCTTCTTTTCCTTTGATGAATTCCTGTCTATCTGCACAGATTCTTTTGTGATGGACAGCCTTGTGCATATCATCTTAAGGGAACTGTAAGAATTCTGGAATGTGTACCTTGTAGGATTTTTAATGTAGACTATGCAAGCTTTAAAGTACTTCCACCCTGATTTCCTGAAGTGGTGCACTGAGTGTGCCTAAAGGTTGCTTTAGCTTTGTGTCTTTGCTGTTGGTATTATCCACCTTTGTGGGCTTTGCTTTTTTTTTTAACCAATTTTCTGATTTCTGATGACTTTCAGCTTCTTTTCATAAAACTTGTGACCTTTTTGGTTGCCCATTTGCACCTTTCGTCCATTTTCTTATTGGAGTTAGTGTCTTTCATGTCTTTCAGGATTCCTAATTATTCTAGATGTTATTCTTTTAGCAGCTTTTAGTTTGTGTTGTGTCACTTCTACTGACTTTTTCCATGGACTTACTTGTCCATTAAATCCCTAACATCTTAATAAGTTTATTTCCTAATTGCTTCTGTTTCTGAAATTGTTTGGGAAGTCCTTCCTCTTTCTGTCTCCATTTTCTGTTCACTAATAAGTAGTTTTTCTTTTACATTTAAGTCTTTAATCCTTCATTCCATCTTTGTATTTGGTGTAGGTAAACATCCAACTCCTTCCCTATTCCCCTTATTTTTCAGTAGTAATTTTTTATTTAGTAACTATTAGTCCCCCCATTTGTGTACTTCCTTTATTGCATATCAGCAAATAGACACAAGCTTTTGTTTCTGAGCAATAGTCCTCTGTTTTGTTGGCCTTTTTGTGATTGTAATTTTTATTTACTTGGCTTTGCATCATGTCTTAATATCTGACATGGTAAGTTTTTATTTTCCCACCTTCATATATAATCTGTGTTCTTGGTTCATCCTTGTTTTTGTCTATTGTCAGTGTTGTACTTCACTAGTTACTAGTATCATTACTAATTAATATCTGGTATGACAAGATGCTTTCCTTCACACTTTCCCACTCCAAACACTAGTCCAAGGTTGGCCTCCCCGCACCTCACATGTGTTGCATTAGGTTTACCGTAGTCCTCACAAAAACTTGACTTGTTATCTGATATTTCCTGCTCATTGGCAGGTACCCTAACAACTGAGCCATGCCTCCAACCTCACAAAAACACCAAAACTGAGTTCATAGGTGAACAAAGGATATCTTTTTAGTATTGTCTTATTCATATACATACATCTATTTATACCCAAATTCTGTGTCGTATAGTTTTAGATTTCTTCATACAATATTGGCTATATTCATTATCTGTGTATTTTACATGTGGTATTGCTGTGTGAATTGTATTCTGTTCATTTTGGTGTCTGTTAATGACATGTGGAAGGAGACTGCTGATTTTTTTTTAAGTTGATCTCATATCTAGTAACTTTACTAAAATAATTGAAGTAACATGGTTGTCTCCTCCCATTACTCTACCCCAAAGATCTTGGAATAATGGCAGTTTTAGCACTCATCTTCTATATTATACCATATTGCTGTTTTGTCTACAGCATAGTCTAGGACTTTTAGTACTTTGTTAAACATTAGCATTAAAGACAGGTTATCTTTGACTTACTTATCTTGGGAATGAAAATAATATTGACCTCATTAAATTCACTGCCTTCTTTTGTGTTTTTGCTTGGGAGATCAAACATAGAATCTTGCCTGATAAAATCCTTGCCGTTAGGCAAGGACTACAACTCTTCAGTCTCTGTTTTATTTTCCAACTTTTTTTGAACTTTTTTCTTGACAGTTTAATACCTGTTTGGAGACACATTGCCTAAGTGGAATAAATGTAATCACAATACATTGTTACAAAGTTGTATAGTTAATGGTGAATAGACTTTGTGCATATGTATGCAAGTGTGTTTATATGAGTGTGCCTAAAGAATGAGACTAACACTTAACTAGTATAAATGCCAAGATTTCAACTGCCAATGAAATATATAGCCACTTTTACTTTTTCTTCTGTCTGCACCAGCTTCTAGGAGATAGACCTCTCAAAAATTTACTTGAGAATGTTGAAAGAGGTGACATTGATCAAGACACATTGTATTCATAATGTGCTTTGCTAAATGGTGACTCCTTTGTACAGCTTAAAAAATTGAGATGAGATTTTGGGGAGTTTGGGACTACCATTTTTATTCATTTTAAACATTCTAGTTGGTCTATTGAAGTTTCCTCTAAATCTAGAGGTGGTGTTTTTTTTTTTTTTAATTTATTTTCTGCTGGTCCTATGGCTTGAACTCGGACTGGGTGCTATTCCTGAACTTTTGCTCAACAGTAGCATTCTGTAGCTTAAGCCACAGCTCCAAATCTAGTTTTTTGGTGTTTAATTGGGGACTGGCTTCCAGCTTTTTTGGTTAAGTTTAGTTGGAGTTGAGTCTTACAGTTTTCTGCCTGGGCTGTCTTTGAACCATGAGTAGCTGTTACTCAGTTGTCATCCATATCAGCTTTTCTGCATTTTGTTTTTCATGCTGTTTTCCTGGGGAAACTTTTCAACTTCATGGACTGTTTATGTTCAGTTGACTATTATGTTTTTTTGTGTTTGTTGACTATTTTAGTTACCATATCCCCATACCTTCGTATGTACTATTTCTATGGTTTTAGATTTTTCTTAGTTTTTTTTTCATATTGTAATGTTTTTACTTCACTATACATGTATTTCATTCTTGTTTAATGCTAGCTGATAATGCTAGAACCTTTTCATAGAAATGTCTGGTTACTTTGGTCTTTGAGCTCAGGAATAGTGGGTACTGTCTTATGTGCAAAGTATTGATACCTACAGACCAATGAGTATTGGGAGGAAATGAAGGTGATACTAGTCTATGACAATTTTTGGAGTTCAAGTAGAAATGCAGTGAATGAGCCTAAGTAGAGCATAAATGATCTTAGACTCAACATCAGGTGGCAATTCTAGGCTATTATCTTGAATTACTTTGGGAGAGTCAGTCACTCTTGGTTGTTTAATTCACTATATCTATATTGAAGTAGTGACCTAGTTGCACTTCATTGTTGATTCTTCATGTTATCCTAGGAACCCTGGCATTGGACTCCTATAAAGGATGGGGGGATCGGGGTGGATGATAGTTGATTGGTTCAAAGGAAGAGAACTTTAAAGGAAAGTTTTTAAAGTCCTGTAATCTGTTTCTCCTGTTGTTAACTAACTCTAGCCATTCTTGCCCAGGATTCAGCTCACTTTATACCATTTACAGACAGTTTTGCTTAGGAGAGGTAGAGGGCTATGTTTTTGAGTGCATATATGTGTATATATACATGTACCAGTAATTTTCCTTCTTGGTTCTAAAGTTTAGTGTTTTTGGAGTGAGAGAAAAAGCCAGGATCAGGTTAGTTACCTCTTTGACAGAATATTGTTTTAAACTTTCAATTGTGAGAAGATCTCTGGATGTTTTTGTTTATTAATAATTTTAACTGCTTTCAAGTAGTTCCATAAGAATTAATTGGTTTGAAAAACTGTTTGCCACATGGGAATAAATCTTTTAAGCAAACAGATTACTTTTAAAATTTGCTAAAGTTAAAAATATATTTTGCTTAAAAATTGTAAAATTTACCTAATTGCTTAAAATTATTTGTTTTGAGAGTGACCTCTCTTTGGGGCAGGGTCTAATAAAACTATTAAATATATTACTTTTAAAATAAACATTGCTGGGTCCTGGTGGCTCATACCTGTAATCCTACCTTCTCAGGAGGCTGAGATCTAAGGATCATTGTTCAAAGCCAGCCTGGGCAGAAAAATCCCTAAGAGACGTTTATCTCGATTAAATCACTCAAAAACTGGAAGTGGCCTTGTGGCTCGAGGTGGTAGAGAGCTAGCCTTGAGCAAAAGACCTTAGGAACAGCTCAGGCCCTGTGTTTAAGCCCTGCAACTGACAAAATTAATTAATTAAAAATAGATAAAGTATATGTCAAAAAATAAAAATTATTACTGTTTTAAGCTTCATAAACTTATGATTGCATTTATACTTGCAAGGTCAGCAACACTAGACTTGACATTTAAATAGCTTTGACAATTAGAGAGCTTAGGGTTTGACAGTTTGATTTCTATTTTCTTATCCAGTATATATCTATCTTGAAATTTAGTTACTTTTAATACACATTTGCACCAGAAAGTGAGCTTATTTACTTCAGTTTCATTGTGGAAAAAGAACTGTTTTGTTTTACTGTGCTGCTAGTAACTGTCTTCTGACCTTTCAGCTTGCCTAGGGTAGTTAAAAGACGAGTGAATGCTCTTAAAAACCTTCAAGTTAAATGTGCACAGATAGAAGCCAAGTTCTATGAGGAAGTTCATGACCTTGAAAGGAAATATGCTGTTCTCTATCAACCTCTATTTGATAAGGTAATACTTCTAATTTACCTAAAATTCTATAGGACAAACTCAGTATAAATGAACTTTTAGGTGGTTTCATCCTTAAAACTCTGAAGTAGAAAATAGAGATACTTGGAAAAATGTTAATAGTTAACATTTTGGTATTCATTGGTTAAATATATGAGGATCCTGATTATGAAAGCTTGAATGCCAGTGTTTTCATGCAAGGTTTTTTCCCCCCCTTAAAATTACTTTAGCGATTTGAGATCATTAATGCAATTTATGAGCCCACGGAAGAAGAATGTGAATGGAAACCTGATGAGGAAGAAGAAATTTCGGTTAGTATGAACTTCATGCGTTTTTAGATGAAAAAACTTGAGCAATTCTCAGAGTATTCACAGTTGTTGATAGGTTACACAGTGCAATATAATAGCTGGAAATCAGCTGTGACATTAGTGGGTTTTTTTGTTGTTGTTGTTGTTGGTGGTGGTGGTTGTGGGGCTTGAACTCTGGACCTCGGCCCTGTCCCTGAGTTCTTTAGCTCAAGATGAACACTCTACCACTTGATCCACAGGGCCACTTCTGGTTTTCTGGTGGTTAATTGGAGATGAGTCTCAGGGACTTTCCTGCCTGGGCTGGTTTTGAACTGTGATCCTCAGATCTAAGCCTCCTGAGTAGGTAGGATTACAGGCATGAGCCATGGGCGCCCAGTTCAATACAATAGTTTTATTAACACAAAGGTGAGAGAAGGACATATGGGTTTATTGCGTTTCTGTTATTATACCTGTCTTTAAAAGAAAAGCAAAAACAAAAAAACTGTTAATGAAGTATTTTTTCCCTTCCTCTTCCTAAAATGTTTTTTTTTTTCTATAATTATCTTCCCTATTGTGGAGGGGTGTGATTGTTACAGTAAGTTTTGATGGGTTTAAGATTTGGAGGAGATAACAGTAGTCTTTATACAATTAGGCTGAAATTTAATTTTTAAGCAGTAATGAGGACTGAAGCAAAGACCTATTGCATTTTTGGCAGGTGCTGTACTTCCTGATTTACTTTCTAGTCCTTTTTACTGTTAGTATGTTTTTCCAATTTGAGGTTCACACTTTTGCATAACAAGCCTCAGGCCATGAAATTCCTAGGTCCACCTCTAGAGTTGTAGGTGATATTATACGCATGTAGTACCACAACTGGTGGATTTGTTTTGTTCTATAAACTTAGGCCATTGCCTGTGTTTTAAGGGCATGTGTAAAGGGTTTATTAATAGATGTAATATAGGTATTCAGTAATATATGCTGTTGCTTATCAAGGAGGATCTGAAAGAAAAGGCCAAGATTGAAGAAGAGAAAAAGGATGAAGAAAAAGAAGACCCTAAAGGAATTCCTGAATTTTGGCTGACTGTTTTTAAGAATGTTGATTTGCTCAGTGACATGGTTCAGGTACTTTTACTCTTAAATACCCTGTTTCAGCTGAAAGGGTAAAATCTTAAGTTAGGATAACTAGTTTGTTCAGTTTTGATTCCTAAGAAACTACTGCTTTTATTTTTGAAGTTGCAGTCTCTTTCTGTTGAAGGAAAATTACAGTTTGATTAAGAATTTAAAGCAATAACTAGATAACGAAATAGCCTTATTGATAATTAATCACTGTTGTATTTTCATGTTTATGTGCTTAGTTTTGTGACAGGATAGAAAAATTATAGTTTCATTTGTGCTATATCTCAGAATAGCTTTTCAGTCAGAAATTAGTCTGAACTAATCCAGGGAAAATTAGCATTTAAAAGAATACAATAAAGATGTTTACTCATTCACTATAGTTTGATCTCTGGAAAACCAACACAGATGTCACTTCCTTTGGGAAACTTAGCATCAAGCACTTTTTTTTATTTTTTTTTTTGCCAGTCCTGGGGTTTGAACTCAGGGCCTGGGTGCTGTCCCTGAGCTGCTTTTGCTCAAGGCTAGCATTCTATCTACTACTTGAGCCACACTGCCACTTCCAGCATTTTCTGTGTATGTGGTATTGAGGAATCAAACCCAGGGCCTCATGCATGTGAGGCAAGCACGCTACCACTCTAGCCACCTTCCCAGCCCTATTTCTTGAACCTTTAGCATCTATCTGTGTTAATAGTAGTTACTACCCTGCCTTGTGATTTTTGGAAGAAAAATTTTTGAAAGAAAAAGAAATCTCAAGCCGGGTGCCAGTGGCTCACGTCTGGAATTCTAGCTACTCAGGATGCTGAGATCTGAGGATTGTGGTTCAAAGCCAGCCCGGGCAGGAGAGACCATGAGACTCCTATCTCCAATAAACCACCAGAAAACCAGAAGTGGCACTGTGGCTCAAGTGGTAGAGTGCTTGCCTTGAGCTGAAGAGCTGAGGGACAGGGCCCAGGCCCAGAGTTCAAGCCCCACAACCAACAAAAAAAAAGAGAGAAGAAAAGAAATCTCAATTTCTATTTTAGCAAAATAGAAAATGAGCAAGAATTTAAAAGACTATAATTAAAAGTAGGAGAGATTCATAGTTATTAAATATAATTGTGAAGATATGTGTTAGTCATCTAGTATTTGTAGTGACAGTGCTGACTCTAAAATGGCATGTTTTAACTTTTTTTTTTTAATTTGAAGGAACATGATGAGCCTATTCTCAAGCACTTGAAAGATATCAAAGTGAAATTCTCAGATGCTGGCCAGCCTATGGTAAAAGAACTTTATGAGATATTTCAACATTAATTATGTATACTTTTGTATTACATGAATGAAAACAATGAAAATAGATGACATTCAAAGGTTAAGAATGGAAGTAAGAAGGAAGTATAAATGGTACTTAGTACTGTAGGTAATATTTGGATGTTGCTCCTTGGGATGCTGTAATTTGTTCCTTTTGTTTGTGAACTTGACCTATTTTATAATCATAATTGTTGATCAGACTAATGTGGACAAAAGTTAGTGGCAAGCCAGGTACTAATTGCTCACACATGCTTATAATCCTAGCTACTCAGGAGACTAATGTCTGAGGATAATTGTTTGAGGTCAGCTCAGGCAGGAAAGTGAGTCTTATCCCCAGTTAAACATCAAAAAACCAGAAGTAGAGCTGTGGCTCAAGTTGCAGTGCTAGCCTTGAGCAAAATAGCTCAGTGATAGGGCTCAGGCCCTGAGTTCAAGCCTCAGGACTGGGTAAGGACTCATAAATAAGTAGATATTAAAACTATTAAGTCATTCTTGGAAATTACAGAATGCAGATCTTAGAGGATCCTCCTACTCGCCTGTGAGGAGAGATCAGCTTCTTAAGTCATCGATAACCAAGATATTCTAAATATAGACTGTCAATTCTTATGTTGTCCTTTTTGAGTCAAGTTCACATTGTAGTCTCATTTAAAAATTATCTTTATAGGATGTAGTCAGTTTTATGTAGGCATATTTTGCCTAAATGAGTATTGTAAACTGAAAATACATAGTTTGTACCTTGTTTTTCTTTTTAATGTAATTTGGAGAAGAAAAACAGAATTTTATAAAAGCCATAATGAAACTGTTTACCAGTATCTGAACTGCATTTAACTTGTATGCTTTATTCTTTTTTTTAGAGTTTTATCTTAGAATTTCACTTTGAACCCAATGAATATTTCACAAATGAAGTACTGACAAAGACATATAGGATGAGATCAGAACCAGATGATTCTGATCCCTTTTCTTTTGATGGACCAGAAATTATGGGTTGTACAGGGTGAGTTACTTGTACTACTTTAACAGTGTTATATTTTTGATATATTGTTGGCTTATAATACTTGATAACTTTAACTGTCAGTCCTTGATACATACATATGTACTTCATTCATTGTTAAGCATTTTAGTGAATTGAAATATTGTCAGTAAAATGTTTTCAGACATTTTCCTAAAATTTCCTTTGGGCCAATATGTGTAACATACTTTTCTGCAAAGGAGTGAACTAATTTTATTATGCTATATTTGTTGATTAAAAACATTTGTTTTAAAATTTTGTTAGAAATAAAAATTTCCTATTGGTATTGTTAAAGCAGTGAATCAGTTATCCACTCTTAATTTAAAATATGACTGAAGAAAAGTAGAGCAATTAAGTGTAGTAAATTATAATGAAAAGAGATTTTTCTCTTGGTTTTGCAAGGTGCCAGATAGATTGGAAAAAAGGAAAGAATGTCACTTTGAAAACCATTAAGAAGAAGCAGAAACACAAGGGACGTGGGACAGTTCGTACTGTGACTAAAACGGTTTCCAATGATTCTTTCTTTAATTTTTTTGCCCCTCCTGAAGGTTAGTAGTGTTTGGGTGTTAATAGTTTCATTATAAATTTCATTGGATTCTTTTGTTCATTTGTATTTCTTTATTTTGCAGTTCCTGAGAGTGGAGATTTGGTAAGTTGAATTGTTATTTATTGGGGTTACTTTAGATGGAATTACATTTATTCCTTAAGTGGAATATGAGATAGTTGCTGCTAGTATTCTTCAGTCTTTGTTTTGTTTTAATTTCTCCATGCTGAAAATTGAACTGACAGCCTCATAAATACTAGGAAAGTGTTCTACCACTAAGTTATAATTCCCTACTCTCAGTTGTCTTATAGGCTTGTAATGACAGGACACACAATTTCGGATTTGAAAAATTGTTCCTTTAAAGTGCTGCTGGTTCCTTCCCCGAGAAACACTGAGATGATCAGCTAAACAGATTCTTTTGACTTAGAAGTATTTTTGTGAGGAATTTAGCTTTTCAAAAATAATAATTCCTTCTTTGAAAGCAAGAATGTATTGTCATTTACCATTTATTAAACTCTTAGAGAGCCACATTATGGTTAGAATGTGTTCTGATAGAAACAGGGTTTCATATTGTGGCTATATATCTTTATGCATATGGTGTCCAGCCAAGAAGTGGAAATGTTTCTACCATGTATCATGCAACCATTACCTTTATATGTTACTGTTTAAATTAGAAAAAACTGATTGGTAGTCAGTTCTTATTTTCATTTACTACCAGTTTTCCTCAGTATGTGTCCTGGCCTGATAATCATCTAGATGGCTTTGTTCTACATGCATATAAGCTAATTTGTAAATGGCAGAGTAAAAAAAGTAAATCTGAAAGTATATCATGTTATAATTGTGTAGTTATTTTATATGCCAAATTTTAATTTTATTTTTATTTTCCTTAAAAAATAGGATGATGATGCTGAAGCTATTCTTGCTGCAGACTTTGAAATTGGTCACTTTTTACGTGAGCGTATAATCCCAAGATCAGTGTTATACTTTACTGGTGAAGCTATTGAAGATGATGATGATGATGTGAGTAAATGTGAATCCTGGAGTCAGATAATTTGGTGAGGGCATAGTAGTCAAAATTAATTGGTGGGAAGTTAGGCTTACTAAAAATAAGCTGTAAAATAATTCAAGGTTAGTCTGATTACAGTAATCCTATGGATATCTTTTTTGAATATTATGTAAATTTTGTTAGGCTATTTGATTTTATCTTAGTTTTCATTTTTCTGTTAATAGGAAGATAAGTCTCAACTAGAGAAGCTCACATACTAGTGGAAGTAAAATTAGGCTGCCCTTAAATATTTGTATAGTAGGCTTCAGAACTTTTTGTGTAATACATTCAGAGAAAAGGTCAGATGTTATACAGAGAACTTTTATAAGTAATCACTAGCTGAGCTAGTGATTTCCTACTGCTAGTGTGTGTTTTAGTTTGTAATGTCACTATAGGGGCAGTTTTTTTCCCCCACTTTTAGGTTTTAGTGTATAACACTATTCTTGTATTATTCACTGACACCATTTTCTCTTTGCAGTATGATGAAGAAGGTGAAGAAGCGGATGAGGTAATGTTTACCAAATGAACAAATATTTCTCTGTATAAAACATTCAGAAGCAAACATGACTTATGTATTCCTTTACTATAATCATTATTCTGTGATTTGGGATAAATTTTGGAAAATATGAATTTAGAATTCTACAGCCAAAAAATGTATGTATAAGGTTTCAATAAATAAATTGCAAAACTCAGCAACATTTTTTTTTTATTTCAAATAATTTTGTTCTGCTGCAGGGTTATCAGCTCTTTGAAGAAGTCAAAAGCTGCAGTAAACTTTTTCAACGTTGGCTGCAGTAAATCTTTTCAATAAAAGCTGTCTGGATGTGTCTCGAGTTGTGTTGGGATATTTTTCATATTAGAAGCTTTCAAATTAAATTGTATTATCACCAAACTGTAATCATGAAAAATCTCTTGACCCATAGAATAACTTGTATTAAATTTTCCCTACACTATGAGCCAATTTTTTCTGCTGTATACCTACTTCATGGATGCATTTTGAACTTTAATATAGGAAGGGGAAGAAGAAGGAGATGAGGAAAATGATCCAGACTATGACCCGAAGGTGAGCAAAATTAGTGTTATTTACTATTTAAAGTAAGAATAGAAGGTCCCCCTGCCCTTCAGTTACAGTCAAGTCAGTAGGAAGTGCACAATGAATGTCTGTTTAGCTAGGTCTCTCTTCCAATGCATCATTTTCTCAAATACACAGTTAAGTGCATCTTCTCTGAGAAATGTTTGGGATTTTTATATTTCTTGTAGTTTTCGGCAAGGTCAACCTAACACTATTTCAGTGGTATATTATTTTGGATGTTGCAGTTCTTAAACTCCAGAGGAATGCATATAAAAAAAGGCCCTGGTATTAACAAGTCTGAATTGCAGAAGTGTTTGGAGACTCTGGGGGAACAATACTGTTGTTAAATTTTTCCAACCACCACAATTCTTTAGTCTTGGGGTCTGTAAAAGCTCAGGATTTTAATTTGTTGTAAAGGCTTTTGTCTTTAAAATACATTAATTAATAAAAAATAACCAGTATTCATATGAAATGAGTTTCCCTTTTAGTTTCTTCATTTTCTTAGTACTGAAAAATACCCAGAAGGTACACTAACCTGTGAGTGAGAAATAGGGTAATTTAAAATCCTGTTTTGGTAGGTATAAATTAGTCTTACAGCTAAATGTAAATTGAATTAGTATCTTTCGATTATGAGATTCCCTACCTCCATTGCATATACTTTAAAAAATTTATTTTTATTAGTATATAATGTACAAAGGGGTTTCATTGTAGTTTTCATACATCCATATATAATGTATTTTGTAGCACGCAATTCCTATTTATGATTATGGTTTATTGTGTTTCATTTTATGGAATTTTGCAATATGAAAATTGGGCATTTTAGCATTTTAGTGACTTTATATAATTGAATAAAAAATTTGATACTGACCTGAGCCAGTATTTAACAGAAATACAACAAAAATGAAATACTGTGATAATTCTGGTACTTATTTACTATTGAAAAAACAAACAAACATTGAAACAGGTAGAAGATAGATTGACTTCTTGTTTTCCTTTAACAGAAGGATCAAAATCCAGCAGAGTGCAAGCAGCAGTGAAGCAGGATGTTTGTGGCCTTGAGGATAACCTGCACTGTAATAGCCTAAACACAACTATTATTTACTTCCAGCCTTATGTTTTTGTATTTTCTTGGTAGACTCTTAAATTCTTTTTAAAGGAAAGAAATTGACATTTTAAAGACAAATTTGTTCTAGCATTTTAAATAGTTTTCTGTCCCATGTGTTGAATGCACGGATCTTCTCATGCATGTCCATTTGTTGATGCAGTTTGGTTCTTTGGGAATATTTTCATCATGTAGCTATTGGATTACAACCATGAAAATTAACAACAGTTAAACATTTTTTTTTTGTTTGTTTGGCTATTTTCTTTTCCTAAAGAACCAAGGTAGTGTTTCACCTGGTAGTACAATGAGTTTTAAGTTCGCTTGCATTAATTGTGCTTTTTATTATATTGTTACAGAAATGCAGTGACTTAATACTACTAAAAAATATCATTAAAATAAACCTTGTGGTTAAGAATTTCCAGTAATAAGACCAAACCCAATAATTGTTAGGTTATTCATGGATTTTTATATATTAGATAATAGAGTTTAATTATAAGAATTCTGACTCATAATATATATGGCTATTGGTTACCACAGGGAGGTGAATAAGACCTAGAAACTTTAGTCACTAATACTATTAAAGAGTACTTTTAAATTTTGCTTCCATTAACTAAGCATTTTTTTCTTTGTGGTAGGGTCTACCTTCTGCTTTCCTGGAAAGGATGAATTTACATCATTTGACAAGCCTATTTGAAGTTTTTTTTGTTGTTTGTTTGCTTATTTTTGTTTTTTCAGCCTAAAATAAAAATGTCATACAATTTTAGTTCTCACAGGATAGTGTCTTAATTTTATACTAATTCATGTGAGGAACAGAGGCTTAGCTTAAATGAGGGTTCTTAGTATGGTATTATTGAAAGAAAGGATATGAACTTTTGAAAGAGGTGTTAAGGTAGTGTTAAGAAAGAAAGTCATAAGTTATGTGTTAGGTTTTTTAAAAGGAAATAAATTTGTTTCATTTCCTTTGGTTTAGAACTAAAGAGAAAACCAAAACCCTCAGCCTCTGCTTTATTCTAACTCTTAGTGCGTCAGTATGAGTGTCATTTACCAATGCTTTTGTTTACTATGTATTAAAATGGGTAGTACTGTTTCCTTAACTACCTCACAGATGTGTTAAAGCATATTAAGTTAAATCTTATGAGTTATTTCTGAATCTCATTAAAAGCTCAAAAATTTGGGCCTCATCTTACCACAAGTATGATAGTGAGCATTTTACTAGGCTTTGATGATTAAACTGGAAAGTGAAGCTTACCTGTTGTGGATCAGGCCGGAAAGCACTCCTTTACATGTTCATGTGGCTCTTAGGTTAATAAAAATGGATGGAATGGGCCAACTATTTCAAAAGATCCAAGGATTTTTTTCCTAGGTATTTTGGATGACCGTATTATAGTAAATACTGAAGAGATCATGTGAATAAAGAGTTTAATAAGGCCATTTTCCAAAATGGTTTGGTGCCATTAAGTCTGATTTACAGAGCCACATTTAAAATACCTCAGGCTAATTACTGTTAATTTTGGGAGGTGAACTTTTTTCTTTCCCTTTTTTTTTTGACAACACAGTAGAATTGCAGTGCAATTAGAAGAAGATTCTTTTGAGAAATGTCATATTAAGATCTTAGAATGTAAACACATTTGTATAGTACTATCCATAACTCTTCCTCAGATTTTTAACTACTGGAAATCCTTAACCAATAACAATAGGTTTTTTTTTCTTCTCTTTATTTTCAAAATGATTTGATTGCTTTTATTAGACATTCTTTGCTGATATTTTTTGTAATTATAGTTCATCTAAACAAGCTTTTTTCTGAACATTAAAATTTGTAATCTGAAGATAGAATCCCATTTTTAATGAACTTACAGAAGTAGCAAAATCATTACTTTTCATTCCTTTAGGAAATAGCTATTGCCAAAGTGAAGAGGTAGATTATATTTCTTGTTGTTATATAATGGGGATGCGTTTGGCAGAGGAATTGTTTTCTTTATAAAATTTCAAGGGATGTCAGTGTTCATTTATGCCATTTCTTCAGTTCCAAAATGGTTCTATTCCATACCAGAAATTTGAAATATGTAATCTGAAAATCCTTAATAAAACTTGGATTTAATTTTATAAAATATACTGGTGACATTTGAATTTTTTTAAATATGAATGTTTTTTGAAGATTGGAAAATAGATGTTTAGGTATTTTGTGTTTATACCACTAATGACCAGTAAATCTGAATAACTTAAGAGCAATCTCCCTGCTAAGTGGAGTTGGTTATTTGAAGAATATAAAACCATTCCATAGTTTGTAGACAGATTTTAGTCTTATTTTTCTACAAACGTTTGAGTCTTTACAGTCTCAATTATCAGTTTCCACTAATTCACTATGAAAGTTACTATTTCTTTTTCCTTATTAAGAGATGGTAAAATCCCATATAGAGATAAAGACTTTGAAACGAATTTTAAGACCCATTTTGTCATCTTTCAAATATGGTGAGCAGAGAATAGCAGTTCCATACATTGATTGATTAGTTGTGTCTGTCAGTTAAGCTATAATACTTGGATGGAGTCCAATGAAGCAGTACTAGTATTACTATACTAGATGTGAAAATAATGAAATTGGTGTATTGGTACTTAAGAAAAATGGGATTCTACCTCTTTCTTTTTGAGCTTATTTAACAACAAACATGAAACAGACAACAGATTTGATTTAAGATTTTTTCCTTATTCTATGACTAGGTTAATAGAATAACCTGTTAGTGTATGAGAGGCCCTTGAAATAACAGAATTAACAGTGTTTGTCACTGCTATTTTTTTTTGGGGGGGGTCTGGTCGCGGGGCCTGAACTCTGGGCCTGGGCGCTGTCCCTCAGCTCTTCAGCTCAAGGCTAGCGCTCTACCACTTGAGCCACAGTGCCACTTGCGGCTTTTTTCTTTTTGCTTATGTGGTGCTGAGGAATCGAACCCAGGGCCTCAGGCCTGCAGGGCAAGTGCTCTATCACTGAGCCACTTTCCCAGCCCCATCACTGCTATTTTTAAGACAGTATGGGTTTGTGGGTTTATCTGGATTGTAGGCTATATTCCCTTATTAAAATGATGAAGGCTTGAAAAACTTACTCTAAAAAATTATATGCAGCAGAAGTAGTAAGCCTAATAATCAAATATTCTTTGAGTGCTGTGATTTCATGAATTGGTTTAAGTCCATCTTTTTGTGTTTTAATTGTAATTTTTTTAAAAACCTTTATACTTTTGATTATTTAAGCCGACCAAATACTATTTTAGATGTGCAGGGCAGTTTACAAAGAAGCCTGATTTTCTTTGTAGGAACTTTAGAAAAAGGGTCATATATACATATAGTGCTGATTCTGTTTTTTAAAACATTTGCACCGTATATGTACATACTCAGTAATTATGAGCCCTGTTTTGCCTTGAAAATAAGTTCATAATATAGATAGCTTGTCATTTAAAGCAGTCATCTGAAAATTAAATGTACCCGACAATGGTTGAAATAATGCTGAAATTAGTATATTAGATGTATATTGGTGATTTTGTATACTGGTTTAAAAATCCAGACATTAAAATGTAACTTGTATAAAATGCCAAGTTCTTGGGTTCACTCACCATTGACATGGCTTTATAGAAATAGAAATATCCTTGGTGGTATGTGAAATTGTTTTCATTGAGAAGTATGTCTGAGAAACTTTGTATTTAGTTGCTTTCCTTTCGAAATGGTAGTATACTGTGTTTATTCCTTTTGACATTCTAGTATACTTGCAGCTTTTTTCAGCTGTAAAACTAAAATTGAATAAACATCTTAAGTGTAAAAGCAGAATTGAGACATAATTTAGAAATAAATTACTGGTAGGAAATTTTCATATTGAAAATTGAGCATTTCCAGTTTTTGTAGATATTTTAATTGGTTTGAATATTTTGAAACTCAGGGCAAATTTTGTATTAAGATGAAAGTGGTGGTGGTTAATTTGTCATATTTAAGGGAAAATAGGAATTAGTGAGCAAAGTGCCAAAACTTGATAAGAGCTTTTAATAGGCATTTCAAGGATGAATAAGATTTATAAAGTGGATTAGCTTGGGAAACACAGACAGGATGACTGACAAGCTCAGTCATTGTAGGGAATATTTGAAGTAGGCCTTCATAAGAAACCAAAAAGTAACATGGAGTTAGGTGCCTTGAGGTCATGAACAAGATTGGATCTGAGAGCTGTTAAGAGGAAAAGAGGAATTAATCAAGAATAGTAAAGGTGTTTGGATTCTTTTTTTTTTTTTTTTTTTTTGTGGGGCTTGAACTCCGGGCCTGGGCACTGTCCCTCAGCTCTTCAGCTCAAGATGAGTGCTCTACCATTTAAACCACAGCACTTAACCCTGATCCTCAGATCTCGGCCTCCTGAGTAGCTAGGATTACAGGTGTGAACCACAGGCTCCTGTGTTGGATTCCATTTTAGCTGCAGTTTATCCCTAGTCCAAGTGTAGGTTTATATATTTGGATATCTTTAATGACGCAGTCTTAGATCCAATTCTGCAAGTATACACACGGTAATGGATATCCCTTCATAATCATAAAAAACAAAATAATAATTGAAAACTTGGATTTTGAAAGTGATAGGAAAGTATTAGGGAAGAAATACTCTACATACATTGAAAGTAGGTCATCTTTAGGGTTGTTACCCCAAACCTGGCCCACATTTTTATTGAAGTTCAACCAGCTTGGACCAAAAGTCCCTCTCTAGAACCAACCAATGATACAGTCACTGTCCCAAGGTTTAATGAATTAGTTTGACCTCTAGGGCATGGTTTATTGGCCCTGGAGTTAACCAACCGAACCGACCTTTTGCTGGTAGGATGTCTTTTTGTTGGTGAAATGATGTCATTTTATGGGTAGAATACTTAATCCATCTTGTGCCTACTATTCTATGACTGACCTTAGTGGGCTACATGGGTTGGCCCATTGTGACTTTGTTTGGTTTGTGTGGTACCCTGGTCCTGAACTATTTTGCTCAAGGCTAGTGCTTTACCACTTAAGCTGCACGTACACTACCAGCTTTTGGTGGTAATTAGTTGGAATTAAGTGTTTCAGGGACTTCACTGGGCAAGCTGTCTTTGAACTATAATTCTCAGATCTCAACCTCCTCAATAATTAGGGTTATAGGTGAGTCCCTGGCAGCTAGCTCATTGTCACTTAAGTAATTTCATCCTCTGTTTTAATTTTTCCCATCACTTAACAGCATTCGTGTCATTCAGTCTTTCCCATCTCCAAGGACTCAATATATTGAGGGAACAGGATATCAATCAAGTTTGGTTATTTCTTATTAGTATGGAGCACAGGCATATGTCAGGAGTCTCTTTACCCTAGTGCTGTTTGGACAGCTGGAATCCCAGGTTATAGATGATCCAGTACATTCTTTGGAGATCATAACCTGTGGTCACAGTATTTAAGGAGGAATGGCCACCGCAGAAATGGTTAATAGGTTGGAACCAAGAGATGTGGCAGCGATAGAACATTTAATTTCTTTCATTATGTGAATTCTGCTTCCTAAGCAACCAAAAGCTTGACAAGATCAATGGCGCACAAGCATTTATTTCTATGTAGAACAATTACAGTGGACTTATGAACCTATTAAACCTATATCCTTTAAAGCCTGTTTTTAAATGTTACTAAGAGCAGAATGATATCTTTTGAGTGATATCTTTTAAGACAGAATTAGGAGTTAAACATCAGTATATTAAATGTTGACCTTAGAATTTTAAACTGCAGGCAGTCACAAAAATTTCATATGCTTTATCTTTTATACACATGTCCTTCACAAGATTTTGTGATCATTCTTGTTTTTAATCCTAGCCTATTTTTCTGTATTGGACAAAACTACCGTACAGAATGCTTTTTCATCCAAAAATATCCTCATACTAAATGCCTGAGTAATCTCCTTGATGCTGTATTTTTCTCAATATGAAGACATTGTTTTAACCAACAACCAATACTAGAAATCTTAAGATGTAATTGTGATTTTTTTCCCATTATTTTTATGTCCTTAGTATGACAAATGGTATCCTGAGTGAAGTTTTTGAGTACTTACATGTCTCTCTCTCCCTCTTCTTTTTCCCCCTTTCACGTTTTACAGGTTTATCATAATCCCCCCTTTTTTTTTGTCTCAGGCTAGCACTAGCCATTTTTCCAAAGATGTCTCTCTAGGTTGGTTGGTCCCTCCCTCCTCTCTCTCTCCTGAGGGATGTTATTTATAAGCACTAGGTGCTGGTTGTATACCTGCATATGTAAGGCATGCACCAGTACCTCATCCCTGTATTCCAGGATCAAAACAATGAGAGCAAGAGGATTCGTTTGTGGCTAGCAACTTTCAAATGACTCATTCAATAGTTGGACAATTGTAAGCTATATTCCACTAGAGACAGAAAAGTTTGAATTCAAATAGAAAAGAATTTTGATAAACATTTTGCAATACCCCATTTAATGTCTCTACTATGAAGTTTTAGTAAATATAAGATTAAAACAGTTCAGTGGGCTGGGTGCTGGTGGCTCATGCCTATAATCCTAGCCACTCGGTGGTGGGGCCTTAACTCTGGGACTGGGCACTGTCCCTCAGCTCAAGGCTAGTGCTCTACCACTTGAGCCATAGCACCACTCCGGGCTTTTTCTGCTTATGTGGTGCTGAGGAATCAAACCCAGGGCCTTATGCATGCAGGGCAGGCACTCCACTGAGCCACCTTCCTGGCTACTTTTTGCCAGTACTTGCGTTTGAACTTGTAGCCTCATGCCTGCTACCACTTGTGTGTCTCCTCCCCCCACAAATGGGCTATTTTTCAGGCAAGGTTGCCAAGTTTTTATTTCAGCATGGTTTGGACATTACTCCTCCTCTAGGGGCTCTTTTGTAAAGCTGGGATGAGAGGTATGTCAACACTTTGCCCATGTTTTCATTGCTTGTGATGTGGGAATCTCACTTTTTGTCCTGGCTGTTCTCAAACCTCTTGTCTATCCTCTTGATCTCTGCCAATCCAGCTGTAATTACAGACATTGCACACAACTGTATTTGGTTGCATCTCATTTCTATCCAAATATTTTCATATGCTGATTTATTTTCAGTGGCTTTGGTCAGTATCTAGAAAA